TGCTTGCTGCCCCTTGAGTAGCATACTCCAAAACCAAACACATTTACCATCATTTCAAATAATACCTCGAAACTAGATTAAGTTAATGTGTTTGAAATGTCAAGTTGATGTTTGATGTCATTAAATTAGATTTGATGTCCAAATTAAAAATTTAATTGCTATTAATTGATAGAAATTGTCTATTAGATTCAGGGCATGATGTCAAATATTTCAATAATTGCTGCGTACTTGGAATTAGATGTGTACCAATTATCTCAACGGTGCTTTAGGATTGTCTACAATACCATTAGTATGGACTGCACTATAAGAAATATGTTGACTTGTTATAAAAAAAAAAAATACAATATATATTTTATGTTTTTGAAGGGGTAAAAGTTACTGCATGTCCTGAGACGGGGGTTTAGGGGGAAAGCTTCTTTTGGGGTTGAGGGCCGAGGCTTTCTCGTGCATGGAGCAATTTCAGACCATATTTAAGCTATTCTTATACTGTATTATAATTTTGATTATGACTGACAGGAGTCTTGGCCTGATTGACAGGGTGGGGGCTTACTGTAATTCTCCTGTCTCCTGCTGTTGCAACCACTGGTCTCGTTCCACTACCACAGAAAGCCAACTTCGTGTTTCATAGGTCTTCCATCCTTTATGTGATTACTGTATATAATTATAAGATTTGCTTTGCTCTTTAATAAGACAGTTAAATTTTTATTAGTTAAAATACTATTTTAATATTAAATAATGTGTCATTATTGTCTTGTAGGATGATTATTGCATTTTATTTCTGGAAATTTCTTTCTTTTTTGACAATTTAGTGTTATAAAAGTAGTGTACAAGTTTCCTGACCAATTTTCTTGTGGAATTGATCTACATTTACACTACACACGATAACGACACGACAACGATACGATAAAACGCGCTCAGTGTTGAAGATTATAAATGATGTGATGATATGTCGTCGTTGTGTCATTATCGTGTCTAGTATAAATGTAGCGTTACACAGGAAACTGCAAGCTGCTATATCATGTTGTCTATATCACGTCCATTATGCTGCCACAAGCTGACAACACAGGGGCTTGTCAACTGACTGCGTTAATGAAGACAATGTGGGAAAAGGAAGCCTGCGTACACTAATGTTTATGGTATCTGACACGCACTGAATCGCGTTTAATTGGGGGAGTCACTGTATATTTATGATGTTGTGCAATCAGAAGTGTACCTACAGAGTTGTCGCTTAAATCGTGCTTAAACGTACCAGAATATCCAAGAGCAAGTCTAGGGTTTAATACATTAAGTTGAGCTAGTAATTTGAATTGAGAGAAAAAGTGTCAAAAAATAATTCATACAGTCAGCTGACTTGACTTGGTAATTCATGTTAGGGGCCGGTGTGCATTTATCTGGGGTAGTGTCATTGCACATGTAATGTCTAGGTACCTTCAGTGGCGTATTAGGAAGAAGAGCTGATGGGGCACAAAGGTGAAGCAGTGGGGAGGGAGGAAACTGGGGACGAGCATTTTTGGGTGGGTGCACCCCCCACACCTGCTAAATATGCCGCTACTGGGTACCTAGTTCAAAGAAGCTAACACTTAGCAGCTAGACGTCTAGATTGAGTGGGATGTCCAGTTGAATGGGATGCCCAGTCTGCTGTAGTCACAAGTTAAAAAATCACATATTAGATTCTTATTTCAACAACTTTTAAACAATAAATCACAAAATAGGCAAAAAAAAAAGGAAACATTTTTTTTTTTCTTCGTCATACACTTACCTATACCAAAGACTATAGCCGAGTAGCGAAGCACCAAAATAGAAAAGCAAGAAAAAAATGGGACAATATAATAATAATAACAATAATAATAATAATAGTAATAATAATAATAATAATAAGGCCTATCTATCTTGCACAAAAAAGGGGTTACCTGCTAGGCCTAGGTCAACAAAACGGATGTTTTGATGTTGAACACATTTCATTGTTGTCCATAATTTTTGCATAATGGGATTAAATATTGGGAGATATTATCGAAGAAATTGTAAGTGCTACGGAAACACGGCCTTAGATTATTACGCGAGTGAATTTATAATGCTTTAAATATCTGATGTCAGGTTGTTCCAAACTTACTGTAGGTACGGTATTTGAAAATTGTTCTTTTCCTGGATTCGTTTTCAACAATCTCTGTAAACATCCCTAATTGGTCCAAGTTTATTACTAACACATTCCCGTTTCCCTGATAAGGATAATGAAGATAAATTGTTATTGGGCAATATTCTCAAACAGTGTTGCTGCCTAACAATGTCTATCTCTTAACAAGCCAACTTTTGCGAGAGATTTATGACTGACCTTTAGGCTTGCAGGGTGAATGCAAATGTTTTAAAGTAATTATTTACACACAACTGTGACATATTAAAAATATTGTTTTTCAACAAATCCATAAATCATTGATAGTATTTTTATCATAAAATGGTGGTATGAAACCAGACTTTCAGTATTGGGATCATTGAGTTAAGAGAATTTCAGTTACAGTACTTCAAGGATCGAACCCTTGATCCACTGAAAACTTTTTGAGAGATAAGGCGAGACCCTCTTTATAACTTGTTTAGCGAACCCAGCGACTGCAAATACTGATTATTTTGAATGAAAATGAAATTTTATTTTTGGCAAATTAGGCACCCGCCACCACGGAAAAATGAAAATTTCAGAAAAAAATAAAAGTTTTTCTTAATTGTATTATGCCCTTAAGATAAGATATGTATATTTCTTCATAATTATATAAATTTGTAGCATTTAACCATTCTATTTTACATTCACCAATAATTTTTTTTTTCATATCTCCTCTGTCTGGATGTTTTTGGCAAAACTATTTGCTAAATAAGAAAACAAAATTTTATTTTTATTTTATTCCGCCCTTCTCTGATGATCTTTAAAAAAATAAGAATGCAAAAATAAGGAATAAAAAAAGTCTCGCCTAAGAAAAATTGTTAATACTAAATCTAATTCCAAAATTCTGTTCCTGAGTTCCTACTCTTCTTTTGCTGTTTTCCTTTATTTTAAAAAAAATATATTCTTTAAATATATCCCGCTACCACAATAGTATTTTACCAAATTTTAATCCCTTTTTACAGTTTTTAGTCTTTTTTGACACATTTTAACTAATTTTAAGAATTCCTTTTAAGTAATTTACAAGTACCCAGTATTTTTAACTATTAAAAAAAAAAGTTGTTTAACTTTTATTGTATTTTTTATAAATTTTAAAGTGGAACCAAATAAATTCAAAATAAATAAAATTCTTGAACTTGTCGAAAAATGGTCTTTATTTTAATTGTTACATGATCATTCAAGTACAGTGCTTCATAAATTTCTATCGTGTATTTATATGTTGTTTATTTATATTAAGCTGTAACTTTTCGAGAATTTATTTATTTATTTATTTACAATCACATTCAACAACGAGAAACCCGCCACTTACAGAATGGGTCTAAAAAGCTAAATTATAAAAGAGAATAGAAACTTTAAACAATCTTTAAAACATTACTACAAAAATATTATTAGTACAATAAATAAGTTATGAATGTATATATCACTGATCTTCAAAGTAGTGTTCTCAAAATATGTAGTCCAGTGGCAGAGGTGAAGTTATGGGAATTATTCTGGCTGGAGTTGTGGGTT